ATGTACTGAGTACTGTAAAGTAAGTACTCATTCATTGCCAAAATAAGTAATTTAATTAGTACAGTACCTTTAAGTACTAACAACATTTTAAGTACTGTACTGCAACATTTAAAAATTTTTTAAGAACTGCTTTAAAACTGACAATTTTTAAAGGTAAAGGTAGGAACGTTTGTGTGATGCTCAATTTTATAAAAAATAATAACTTTTGAAAAGGTCAATGTTGATTTAGGAGATAATTTCCAAAACTAACAACTTTAAGTACTAAAACCCTTAAGTACTACAACTTTTAAAAATTTTATTTAGACTTTCTCCAAACTTAAGATTTTTTTAAAGATAATGGTAGGAACGTTTGTGTGATGCTGTATTTTATGAAATTAATAACTTCTTGAAAAAATCAATGTTCATTTAGGAGATAATTTCCAAAAAATAAGGACGTAAGGATATATGAATCTATTGATAGTTGTAGTCTTTGTTGCCTGCAGTTGCATATGAGGCATGACAACAAATTAATGGAGAGCGAAATCGGCAGCATGCAGGCGCAGCATACCGACATAATATTAAGTATGTTAATCATTCCTTTGTATGACACTGCCGCACTGGTCTCTCATCCCAATAGCTGTATTACGAGTACGTACAGCTTAGGACAAAAAAACGCATAATCCCATCCACAGCATTCCGAACGCATGCAGCGCAGTGCGCTGTACGGCTCAGCTAAAATATCCGGCTGTCGTACAAGTGCACTTGCAACATGCGTACGGATATCTGGGTGTGGGGTTATGCGTCTTTTTTGTCCTGACATAAGCTGTATATGACCACCAACCAGATACGACACCGTTGTTGCGGCAATGGCGAATGGCGACGACGCGTGTCGGCAGCATGCATATGCGGAGCGAGTAATTCCATCCTATTATAAATCATATCGAGACATTACGAAAGCTAACAATAAGGCATAAAATCGAACTGGCAGCCTGTACGATGACGTCACGGTAGGGGAGACCCCATGTTATGAAGTCCATAGGCTTGCACACTTTTGCGTTCCAGCAGAACGAATTTTCCTGGTGTCTAAATGATTTTTCTTCTGTTTAAAACTCAAAAACATTATGCTCCCTCACCGTCCCCAAAAATTCTAGCGGTAAAAAGTGAGTTATCGCACACTTTGGCCTCTCAAATGGTGGATCCAAAAGCCAAGGTAGTGGTGTGTCTTCAAAGAGTGGTTAAGCTGTAACCACTGTCGTTTCCGTTATGATTGAAGTCCAGGAAACAAAGTCAAGTAAAAATATAACTTTCTGGACTCATATTTCAGAAAATGAACACACACTGATAGTCAGCAACTTGGTCGGAAGACCGTAGCCGTCCACAGTAAATCCACACCACAAGTGCAGGTTTCTTCCATAGACTTCCATTTTAACTGAAGACACTCATATCGCATCCAGTTTCCAACGGATCCGCGCTAACTCAGCATAAAAAAAATAACAAATTATTCTCTTTCTTTTGAGATGTTTCTGTAGGCTTATTAACAAAAATACAAGGAATTCTAGAATTTCAAAGTTGTATGTAAGTCTACGGGCAACACAGTGCACCGTCTCCACTATCCCGACTTCATCGCAGTCGATTTTATGCCTTAGCTTTCGTAATGTCTCGATCATATGTATACCTATTTCCCCACACGTATACCAACGTATACCGTACTATCGGCGAGCGACTGAGTATCTGCGCCAGCGGATTAGCTTCGAAATTCAACGCGGGAACGCGGCCACTGCAATGGGAACAGCACCAGCATCGGCGAATTTAGACCAGATGTTTTGTGTGATTAGGCCGCTTATTTCCGTGGTCGGCTGAGGCTGCATAATCACTGCAAATCTTTTACGTTTATAGGAAACCTGTGGTTGTATTGTAGCATCAATCTGCATAATTCCATTTTAATAGTGTATTAAAGGTTATAGCCTGCACAGTTTATAACGATTTTCCACGTATAATCACTCGTCTTTCTAATGTTTCAAGACTTATAACATCAAAAAAGAGAGTACATATCTGTTATTACTGTACGTGTCAATAACTACTTAATTACTTAGTAATTCTACTAATACTTAATTATTAAGTGTAGAATTATCTAGTAATTTTACATACACTGAGGGAGCACAAAACAAACCGATCGTTGTCATCAAGACAGCAAATACATTGTTATGTAGCTTACACTGTTACACACGTGACGTCTGCGTCATAACAGTTTACGGAAGGATGGAAAGAATGGCGATCTTCTTTGTTTGTTTGTTTCTCCAAAAAATGTGTACTGTAAATTTAATAGACTCTTTCGATATATAATTTCATTACGCCACGCGTCAATCAATGGGAACTCCCAGTGGCTCAGTAAATCGTGCAAAAAAAAATTAATTATTTTTGTTCGGCTGAGGCTGCATAATCACTGCAAATCTTTACGTTTATAGGAAACCTGTGGTTGTATTGTAGCATCAATCTGCATAATTCCATTTTAATAGTGTATTAAAGGTTATAGCCTGCACAGTTTATAACGATTTTCCACGTATAATCACTCGTCTTTCTAATGTTTCAAGACTTATAACATCAAAAAAGAGAGTACATATCTGTTATTACTGTACGTGTCAATAACTACTTAATTACTTAGTAATTCTACTAATACTTAATTATTAAGTGTAGAATTATCTAGTAATTTTACATACACTGAGGGAGCACAAAACAAACCGATCGTTGTCATCAAGACAGCAAATACATTGTTATGTAGCTTACACTGTTACACACGTGACGTCTGCGTCATAACAGTTTACGGAAGGATGGAAAGAATGGCGATCTTCTTTGTTTGTTTGTTTCTCCAAAAAATGTGTACTGTAAATTTAATAGACTCTTTCGATATATAATTTCATTATTTCCACTCGTCAATAATGGTGCTCCCTAGTGGCTCAGTAAAATCGTGCAAAAAAAAATTAATTTTGTCTTGTTCACAAAAAGCAGAATCTCGTGCAACTACATTTCCAAGCGATAAGTATACTTGTTTGCATTAATTTTGGTGACTAGGAATACGATTTACGACATATTTGAATATTGGAACTGTTCTATTCAAAGGAAGACTTGTCGTGTCAATACAAAAAAATTGCTGGCCGTGCGCTAAAAGCCTAGATGGAAAATGTTTTGTCCGCTAGCTATCAGCTCACGCGGGATGTGGCACCTCTTTCCATTGAGAACGAGCGGCAGCTGCCTCTGCTTTGACACCTGTCGACAACCATGTCGTCGCGCTGACGAGGTGTTGCATACGGTGCTGCCCTCCAACTCGGAGTAACTAATTTGCGGAATCAATGAAAAATATGGTTTTTCTGTTAGGATTTATTAAGTTAAGTTGTTTTTCTGTTTACTTGACTTCCTTTTTCCTCTTTTCCTTTGTAAGCAATTTTTACAATTTTTTAAAACTGACTTCAAATAGTAATTTTTCAAATTGACTTCAAATACCGCAGTTCAATGTGATTTCTTAATTGGTACAGTATTACCTCTTTTGGTGCGCAATAAAGTCACTTGGTATAAGTAGCGCAGTCGACATGTACAGTTATCGACCGGAGCCAGCGAAGGTCCTCTAATTCAGCAAAAATGAAAAAGTATCCGTCTGTCACGCTGTCTGTCCGACTCTGTCTGTCCCAAAAGAATCCAGATAACGTTATTACTGACTGTCCCCTATGACGTCACCCCCTGAACGATAATAATGTAGACTTGTGTATCGCTAGCAGCTATACAGAATATTATTTTCTGTATTATGTACCAAATATTGTGAATTTATTATATATTGTACGAGTATGTTTACTGTGAGTATGCTTTCTGTAAAATCCTAGTTATGCAGTACGAGTATAACGGAAACAGTCAATAATCAATTCAAGGCATGTTTTTCATTTGGGTATAACAAAAGCTATGTCATAAATTCACACGGCACTGCCCAACACACAAACTCACAATCAAAACACACTAATCAACCCACTAATCGTGATTATAGCCACTGTAGTTGCCTAATTCAGCTAAATCGCAAGCAGAGACCAGTGTAGGTCACATCCATGGTGGCGATGGGTAATGATGGCATTTGATGGTATCCTTGGTGGACAAGAAGGCGAGCAGCAGCATACCCAGGAAGCACCTTCTGGCATGCTCACATCGGACTAGAAGCATGTTTTTTCATGAGAGCGCGGGGGAACTGCGGCGTTAGCGTAGCTGGGGACCATAATTATAAGGAGCAGCAAAACTAAACGAGATTATTTTGTTACTTACAGTTAAGCGGTTTTTCTGTTGTGTTACGTATAGATACATTCAAATTAATAATTGTGCACCAGTTATATCGAATAATTTTAACTGGGGTGTGGCATCCAGCTGAAACATGGAATCGTTTTCGGTGGCTGCATCAGATACACAACCTTAAATTCGTATGTCACATGCATTTTAATTATGCACCGACAGCAAATATATTTGTCCATATATTATAATTTATGCGTTATACGACCGAATTCTGTAACACTTACAATTAGTGTACAATACTTACTTTATAACAATTGTTGAATCCCAGTCCGCCCAGTCGGATGTTATGTGATGGTTGGCGGCAGCAGTTGGTACTTCTAGGGAATAAACAAAAGGGATTGTAACACAGATTTTGTTTTCAAGAGCGTTTTCCAGTTATAACGACAACTGCGGCACTTATGGATGTGCCTCAAAGACCGATCACCTTGAATCTTTCGATCACTCATTCAAATTAAGGTTTTCCATATGCAGCACTGGTTTTGTGAATTTGCTATACAGTGATAACTACTTATGCCAGTCGGAAGGAAAAGCTAATCTCACTCAGTTACAACTATTAACAGAAATACTGAAATATGGCCAGGAATCGAAGTTTTAAACCGTAAACTTAATGTGATCGATCTTTGAGGCACATTAAAGTTATTAGAAAGGTCACAACTTAGCCACTTGTGGACGCGGCGTCGGTTAATAATGACGTGTGGGAGTAGGATCACACGCCGGGATGTACGTACGGATGCTGACTGTCCGCTAGTGCCCTGCAGCGGAGTGCGAAACTGCGTCCAGTCCGATCCGAACTTAAAAAATTTTATCCGAACCCAGTCCGACTCCGAATTCTAAAAATCGTACTCCGACCAATCCGATCCGAAAATATTTTTGGCCAATCCGAACCCACTCCGATCCGATCCGAAAAATTTTCCAAAAGAATATTACCTAATTTTATTATACATTAAAACACATCCCTACATCAAAACATTTTTAATGCCATGTTTTCGGTAGCAAAAAGACTTCAGAATTCAGAAGTACAGTTTTCTTGGGCATAATAAAGGGTGCGCTAGAGAATTTACATACAATGTACGACAAAAGAAGTTGATGGCTCGTTTTTCAAACATATTGCGCAGACAAGCGCTTCTCTGTTCAGGCCCAGTGCAGGCGATGTGATGCGCGTCGTACAGTCTGTTCTGCCACCCATTTCTCGTGAATTACGAAATAGAATTGCCAAGTTAATATCTCAAAAGATCCAGAAAAAAATTACAAAATTTTTGATTCTAAATAAGTGGCAATTCATGGGAAACACAAAAAATTAACAGTGTTTGTTTTTCTCATTGACTTAAGCATAGGTGAAAGCGAAACGATTTTGCGCACAGTTTCTTTGCTAAGCCTATGAGAAGGCAAAATGGCTAGAACTTGTTTTATCTGCCATAAACAGCCACATGTTTAGTATCAAAAAGTTTTGAATTTTTTTCTACACCTTTTGATATGCAGTTTTTATAGTTACACTCCGAAATTCACGGAGCGCGAGCGTTTGGAAGTAGCATGCAAAGAAAGAAGTAAGCGTCCAAGTTTTACTGGTGGCGTGTCGTTGCGAGGCTATTTTTGAACCGCGGACCGACTGATCGGTTCAACCTCTTTTTGTCGTCCGTTGTATACAAGAATGTTTTAGATAAATTTAGTTTTTTAGCACTACAGTGTCGAAGCATCTGTGGAGGTTAGTTATCTATCTTCACTGTCAGGAATCTGTATCAGATCTTTTTGTTGTATACGGTTCACCCCACGGATTACCCACATATTAGCCAGGGTCAAAAAAAGGGAGAGAAAATTAAAGGAAGGGATGTCCTAAACGTCCGGAACCAAAATAATTGGTAGTTTCATGTATTCTTTAGGAACTTAGAGTAAATTTAGTTGAACGTGTATATTACGAGTATTAAGTACTGTTATCTCAATCTCCAGGAATAATCCAATTACAAGTGCTGCAAATAAAAATGGGAAGCCGGTGCCTAGTGAAACTGACTGAGCTGCACAACACATGTGGTCCGTTTAACGTACTGTAGTAGTTATAAGTACTAAAATTATTTGATAAGACGATAACAAATAATGACATCATAACAATCGTAAAACACTCTAAATATTCAAAAGTGTCAGGAAAATTAATAAAAGGAAATGAAAGAGAATTGACAACAGTCTACTAAACAAAAGCAGATACTTCGGTGCAAATTAATTCAGCGCAAATGGAAGCATCGCGCGAAGCGCGACGCTGACGAAAATTTTTGTTTTGAAGGCCGGTGAAATTCAATCAAAATTAATTATTAATATTTATTTAATTACGGATTATTCGGAGTCTCGATTGCATCCGAACCCGATCCGATCAGGTGCACAAAAAATCCGAAACCACTCCGACTCCGAATTTTCCAGATTGAAATCCGTCCAATCCGGTCCGAAAATCGGAGTGGGTTCGGAGTGGATCGGATTTCCCAGTCCGTTGCAGGGCTCTACTGTCCGCCTTCCACCTGCAACATAACGGATAATCTAGTCAATCTCTACTGTGATTTGCTGTTCTCTTTTACTAACGGTGTATATGATGTCATAACGCGAAGTCTATATAAGTTCTGGTTGTCACTAATATCGGTAGCAGTCACTGATCAGTAGTCTGAGACTTGACTTCTGAGACTGTTTCTAATTACGATCTCCTAGTGTTGTGAACTGTGGTGTGAATTGGATTAAAGAGGCAGCAATACTTGTTCCTACGGAAGTGCATAGTCGTTCCCGGATTATCGCTTAGTATACAGGTTTGCTCGCGACACAATCGTCCTCGCTCTTGCCGATCCCTTCGGCCGTAGAATTAGGCGCATGAAATTTCACGCGAACAAACTGCTTGAATTCTGCCAATTCATTTGCATAAACTTCGCGAAAGTTTAACAATTCAGATTGCAATGTTGCGCCGGTTAAATCATCGGTGGGCTCATCCACAGCGCGGCACACGTTCTCCGGATTATAAGGAAAAATGCCCGATGTTTAATAACCGATCATCAGTTCCGTCCAGTCGAGAAGCCATCATCACTTTGCCATCGAACAGGATTAACGGTCTCATAATCTCTCCCGCAGCGTTTCCGCCAGCCAAAACAGTAACCAGCTCTCTGTCGTTACCATCGAAATAAGAGAGTACATCCTTTGTTCCTTTTTGTGCATAAACCGAAGTAACTCGCTCTGCCACTTGAAAGGCAGACTCATCAAAGTTCCAGACACCACGAGGGTCTTCCAGGTATCCGCTCATGTGCAGCTCGCTTAGCTTCTTGAGCCATCCCTGGCGGTTTTTTACGGTCCATTCCCGAGATTTCTTCCGGTTGGCACTGTGAGAAATGCGCTTTTTAATGTCTTGGTGACGCTTTAAAAAGCCATAGTGCCAGTCCTCCGTAAAACGTTGTTTCTCGACGGCAAAACCTATAAACATCTGATGGTGAACAAGAGCCAAATAATGAAAACAATTTCTATATGCTACTGCAATTTTATCGGCGCCAAAAGCATTATCTTAAAGCTTTTTACCTTTTTCTTTCAACAGTGGAGGAATAATTCGTTTCAACATCGGTTTATTTAAAGGCACTCCAAGTCTTGCGCAGCGCAGCATGGTGTCTGCAATGAAGTTCTCCTCAAGATCAGTAAATATCCGCTGCCATTGCCCATTCTGTTGAGGCACAATTCCCTTCAGTCGTCTTCCTAGTGTCGTGCGATTAACTCTGTAGACCTTTGCGGCGGAAGCCTGCGATAAAATCCCCTCCCGACATGACTTGACTGCTGCGTCCATAGCATCATTATGACAAGCTCTGGCGACTAGATCCATAGCTGATATTTGTGCACAGTTGTATTCAGTACACGTAGCAAATCAGATTAATTAGTAAAAAAAGTAAAACAAACATCACTGCAACAAATCTAGAGTAGAACATAACAAAACACTGGGAACAAACAAAAATGTAAGAGTACTCGTACTGGATGCTGTGCGTTTTAAAATTTGAATTTAATTTTAAATTCCTACCGCGAGGCCAGTAGCGTTGCGAGCTGCAGACTGGTCGGATGTTCATTGCACCCTAATCGTGAATGGTATGTTCACAGCACCCAAATGTCCTTGTACATATACTTGTACAAGTACATGTTGGGTATAATTATATACTTGTATACTTTCTCCTGGAGCTAGTACACGTTCCACAAGCTTAGAAATCACAGTGCCAAACCCGTGCGATCATGATAGTGGTGATTGGCGAAAGCCGCGAATGCGTTCCTGATTGGGCTTTTCCTGAACGGAAGCCGTGTTTCCACGTTGGATTTATTTGCTGCCTGGTGTTTATTAGGTATATATGAGTTATGCAAATGCCTTGTGTGTGTTTCCTCAGATCTGGGCGCGTGTTGCAGCTTATCAAAGGCCTATTTTTATTCGGCTTTCGTCCGTCAAAATGGCAAAATATATGCACATGAACTTTGATGTCCATAAAAACTGGCGACCGTTATCAAAGCCCAAAGCCGGCACTAAGATCCGGCTTAGACCAACATGAACAAGACGGCCTTCTGGCTATACTCGAAAAATAGTTTTGTCATTACTCGAAATTCCACAGCTGATTTCAACTTAAAATTAGAACAGCTCTACTTCTGTTGGGTGGGATACATTCAGGATATTTGAAACAGGCGATATTCATGCATCTTTGGATCTTTGGTTAATCATTTATTTCGTTTCCGGCTGACTAACAGTTTAGCAGCGATTTAGTATTTTTTCGCTTGAATTCTACCTTGTTTTGAAGATGAAGCCTGCAGACCGCGACGTTTCTCCAGTGTTTGCGTCCCGAAATTAAGATATTGTCAAAATCAAAATGCAGACCCATAAAGAAAAACCGATGCTCGGACTACAAACTGAATCTTTTTCCGTTTCTTTGAGAAGCAGCTGTATCCAAATCGAAGTTATACAACGTCAGATTTAAAATTGACCCTTGTCAGGGTGGTTTCGAAAGTTCAGCAGTAGTCAAAGAAGTAACTCTCCCACCGAAAACATTGAAATTGCACTGGGAGAAAAATTAACAGGTGAAACAAATCTGAACAATCTCAAATTTGATAACTCTTAATATATTTTGAACAGGTATTTTACGTTATTTTCAAGCCAAATAATCGATGCAGTTGCTGGAAATAACGTTTTCAAAACTGTTCTTTAAATGAAACTTGAAATTTGGAGTAACGAAGAGTATATAAGGTAGAGATGCAAATATTACTCGAGGTAAGTAAGAACAAGTAAGTGCGGCACACTTCAAAATCAGCATTGTTACGCTAATATTCCTTCCAGGTAGCTGAACACAAGAGCAGCCCACATCTGAACACACGTAGAACTGGAAGGGTCTGCTAACTTTTTTTTCACAGAAGAGCGGATTCAAAATTGGGATTGAGTCCGCGCAGAAGCAGACGTGAGCTCACACAGTGCACAACATGAATTGTAGCAGTAGTCCGTCAGGAGCATAGCGGATATACGGTGTAACTGTGTCGCCACTACCTGAAGTTTTACAGTCAGCTGCAGCTTAGACATAATCTTGTTGCTACTCAGAACACGGTCATCAAGCGATCTGGAATCCCACGAGAGAAGTCTACATTCAGAGTTCAATTTGCGTATGCGATTTTTTTATGGGAGATGTATAGAAAGTTAGAAACTGAAATTATTATTTATAAAGCAGCTTTTCAAATGCAAGGTTTCAAATGCAACTGTGCCAGATAGTGCGCTAATAACAATATAGAGGGTGTTTGTATGCTATATACGGTAAAAATGCAGAACTTCACGATCTTGAAGTTGAAAAAATAGAACCAGTTCTGTTTTGAAAATTTAACGAACAAAGCCAAATTTTGACGAGCGTAAGTTACGTAACCTTCACAAAACTGTAACTTACGGCAAGTTTCCGTGAGTGAGGTTCTACTCCACACCTCAGTCACGGGCATTGTGACGGAGATGTGAATGTACTCGGCTCAGTATCGCGAGATGTGACGATCTTTAGCCCGAGTAAAAATAGGATTTTAGTGAGTTTAACTTAACTTCGATGCGAAAAACAATACAACTATATGTAAATATATTTACTGCACACAAAACCACATAATTGTTGATTCAGTAGATATATATATATATTTTTTTTTACGTCACATTGCACTGCAGGAGTATGGTACACTGCAAGACGACAGTAATGCCGCCGGTGACCATTACAACCCGGACAACTACACACACGGTAACGTTTACGATGCTATTCGATCCGGCACGCCGGGAATCTGGGTAACATTATTGCCAACAGTGAGCGGGACTCTATTTCTAAAATACATATCTATTGCATTGTAGTGTATTTGCAGCAAAATCAACGTCAACACCGAAGCCTTCACCCTGAACGGTGACTTCAGCATTATCGGGAGGTCGCTGGTTGTCCACGCCGATATGGATGCTCTCGGTCAGGGCAAGGCCAGCGATAGTAAGGTCAACGGGCATCCGCGGGTGCGGTTGGCGTGCGGGGTCATCGGGATCACCGGAGACATTCTTAACTCGGCGTATAGGGAGGACCTAAAACACAGGCGACGCTGATAGCGATAAATATATGACGAGGAGCATGATCTACGAGTAGTCGTTGTGGGCATCAATGCGGCAAACGTTGTCGACGCTGTAATAATATGGGATTAATTACCGCATTCTTTGTGATTATTGGTTTAGGACAATTACTGTGGTAAAAAGGTAATAAAAATAAATTAATTTTAGTTTTGCTCGTCAGCGCATTAAAATCATTTCAAAAAAACGGTCGTAGAAACTTTAAGGTTGCAGAATGTTTCGGTGTTTTTCTACGGTTTAGCTTTAACAATTTTAATGCGATTTATTACGTACATTTACCTGGCCGGCGCACAATTCAAGCATAGCTGCCCAATAAATTACAATGTCATTATCATAATGTAAAATAAATGCAAAGCGCAATCGGTTATGGTTTAATGTTAGGCTACCACACATTTTTATAACTAAAAGTCGGTTATGCAGCGAACACAAGCCGTACTCAGTAGAGAAAATGATAAATCGATCACGTTATACAGTTCTGCACATCAGCATCCAACGAGTCTGCACAGAAAAACGGCAGTCGTCATGGAAGACAATGAAAAACAGCAGAAGCGCGATATTCCATTTGAAAGCTAAATTATTACATTGGTTAATTATATGATATTCCGTTCGTTAAAAAATCTGCGGATTTATCATGAAGACGCTGGTTTTCATCGACGCACAGCATACTCTTTTCGCATTCCCGGTAAATCACTGAAAAAGCGGCTCCGTTCCGCCACCACGCCACCGGACGGGCCAGGCGGTGGATTCTGCATCTCCATGCGATATGAACTGGTATAGTGTTTTGCACTGTCTCTTTCGATGGGACGGCTCTCCCGCGGGATCATCCTCCGCGGCTTCTCCACCGGAATCTGATTGACCCCGGCCGCCGCCGACTGATAGCGCCGGTTGGCGTAATCATTGGCCGCCATACGGGTGCGGGTGCGCGCCGCCATATCCACGCTCTGCACCGTGGATCCGGTCCGCTTCACTTCCGGTACAAGCTTCTCGACTTCCGATTTACCCTGAATGACATGTCCGTGGAAGCGCTCGTGGATGGGAGACTGGGCGCGGTGCACCGCTTCGTCTGCCGTAGTGCTGAGTGGCTCACTGTAAAGGTCACTGCGGTCGGTGGCGGCTCGCAGGTCGATTTCGGCGCGCGAACGTTCCAGTGGGCGTTCGGCTGGGAGGCGAATGCGTTCTTCAACGGATGATTGCAGGTCGGAGTCGCGGTCGGTGCTGGGTGCTGTCCAGTCGACACCGTAGCTGCGCGGGGGTTTAAGCGGTGGAGCGTTACGGGAATACATGCCGGCGGGCTTGTTGGTGCTGGCTAACACTGGGGTGCTGCTATAATGACCGCTCTGAGAGAAAAAGGAATTTCACTTTACATATATATTCCCGCAAAAATATTGATTGCATGATTTTGAGTACTCCACACTGAAGTATGATGAACATTCTAAGTATAATTGCTCTAAGCCTGAGCTATTGACATACTCGCAGTCTTTTTGCCTCAGTTTATTTTAATTACATATCTCATAATGCATGCTTAGACATGTGACGGAATATTCACATTTTTATATTTTTTATATATTATATATTTTATTTATTTATTTTTTTACTTACCCCCACTTTGTCATATATGCTGCTGCGCGGTGAGCGGACCCGTGCAGTATTCCTCACCGGCCGCTGAAATCCATCCTGTTTTCCATACGGTATCAAATTGGTCTTCGTAACCCGTTCGGTACTGGTTTTATACGGGCGATTCGTAACAATTAGCGGGCCATGATACTTCTCTTTATGCACACTCTCCGTTAGACTTTCCACGCTCTTTGACGGTTTCACCGGATGTGGGTCTTCATACTGAAAAGTCGACTGCGAATCCAACGGTGGTTGGTTTAAATTATGTTCGGACATTGATCGATGCCGCAGATTCTGCTTTTTCTGCAGTTTATCGGGGAAAGCATATACCGGCGGCGCCGGTTGATCCATATAGGCAAAGGACGCCGCCGTGGCATCCGAAAAGTTCCCGGAACTACGGAAGCCGGCATTTTTGGCCACCGGTGCCGGGCGCAGAAAACTTTCCCCTCGCTCCACACTAACAGGCGCCGGTGCTGCCCTCTGCCGCAATGGTTGATCCTGGTAGCGCCGCACCGGACTCTGCCGGCGCACACTGAGTGTGCCGGCCGCCGGAACCGGCTCCGGAATCTTTCGGTCCATCTGTTC